CACGGGTGGAATCAGGCTTTTGTGAAAGTGCTGCAAGACCACGAAGCAAAGCAAACCTTCACCTGTATATCTCGGTGCTTCCTCGCAGGTACGTTAAAAAGCAGATTTCAGATGGGAAGAAATTCGCAACCTGCAGCTGCATTTGTCACCTGCCATTTCGTGTTTTGAAAGATCTCCTGGATCTTAGAGCAGCTCTGTGCAGAATTTTTACTGCAACGAACAGATCGTGCTCAGCTTCATATCAATAGACACGTCTCTACCGATTGTAAACCAGTTTATGGTCAAAACCTTGTAAAGGGAGTCACGTTAGGAAAAATCCCAATAACCCATTCAGCATTGCATAGTTGAATACCCACAACATTCTGTCACTGTGACTGGAATTCGAGACTCATCTGACTATAATAAAGCATCACTCTGCAGGTCTGCAGTAGGCAACGCCAGGAAAGGTAATTTTGTCTAAAGAACACTAGTTTAAATGAAAAATGAACTGAACAAAATCTCAAATACATTTTTCCCGGTGCTCTGAGGAGTTAAATCAGCATAATCCAGCAGACCTGTGTCAGTTTGCCTTGGTTGAAGGTCTGGCCAAATAGGCTTGTTCTTTCACCGATCATAGGGCAGAAAGAGATCATAATGCTGAGGGATGAATTCATGTCATGGGTATATCACTGAGGATACAGTAACAAAAGCAAAAAATCCCTAAAGATTAAAAAAAAATTGTTAAAATAGAAAAAAGGATGAAAGTAGAAGGTAGAAGGAAGCAGAGGAAGAAAAGCCTTCATGGGATATTGCTCTATTCTTAAAAACAATAACCAGCAATCAGTACAGTAAGTAAATGTTGTAAGACTGGACCTTCTCAAGTATCTGTGCAGCATGAAGACTCCTACAGGATTCAGGCAGAATTTGTCTGACAGGTTAAGAACATTTTAATACATAGTTTTTAAAATTTATTTATTCAAACTTTTCTCTAAAATGAAACCCAGAGTCTTTCAATGAACTTATTGTCTGCAGAAGGAAAGTTTAAAACCAATATGGAGTCCACAGTGCAACATTCTGGATTTCTCATGTTTACTCTGACAGTACAATTTCACGTCCTAAAAACAAAGGTACGATTACCTCATGAAACATGCTTATGCCATGCATTTGTGGAAAAAAGAAGAGCAGGAGTAAAAGTCTGTGGTTTCTTGCTGAAGGAATTTTCTTGTGGGGGAGGATGACAGGGTAGAAATTTTGACCCTCGTCCTGCAATTGGATCCATCAAGCCTGATCTCTGTGCTCCTGCACTGCTCGCTGGAGTCAGCAGAACTACATGCTAAGTGCAGGCATCTGTCCACCTGGAACTAACTGGGGATTTGGGACCTTCCAGTTTCCTGCTGTGGAGCAAGGATGAGTTCACCTCCATGTAAACTCTGGAAGAGGCGCAAGAGATGCCTGTAGGAGAAACTCGCATTTATTTTTAGACTGTCTGTTCTCTCACTCAGTCCTGCAGGAACCATGCTGCACACAGAATGCCTGCCTTTCTCCAACTACACGTACCTACCTGCTAACACCAGGCCATTGCTGCTGAAAATCAGCATCCCCCGTCTTTCTGAAGTGAGAAAAACCTTTCACACAGTTTGTAGTCTCTGTTCAGTAGCTGCTGCTCCAGTTGCAAGTCCAGTTTTGAGTTGGTTTAAATGCTGTGTCCCAAACATGACCTCTGCCGGTGTCAGGCCCATCACTGTGGAGCATGGTGGTTGCCTTGTGCCCCTCCAAAAATGCTTTATTTCTTGGCACCCTGTAAGTATACAGGAGAGGGAGGTCAATGTGCACCTGCAGCTTCATGCAACGATACTCTGGATGCACCTCTCCACCCAGAGCTACGTCTCCTGTTTGCTAGTGAGGCCGCACAGACATTCAGTGAATTCCAACAAGGTACCACCTGTACCACCTGCCCGTGCTCAACACCAGGATTCTGCAGCCCACAGGAATGAGATCCATGAGGTCAGTCACAAATCCGTGACAACTGGCAGGAGCTGAGACAGCTGTGTTGGCAAGTAAAAGTTCATGCATTCTGTAATGGACACCTGCTCTTAGCTGTGCTATTCCAGGCCAGGAGACTGACCCGCAGGCACACCAGCCGCACACCGCTCTGTTACTTTGGACGGTGACCATTGCCCTCCGTATCGTTTTGCTTGGTGTCTGCTCCAGCAGGTGTGGGCTGAGAACAGCTTTTGGTTTGAGCCCTTGGAGGGAGACAGGCAAAACTGATGGGATCCTGCATGGGGAGATACTGACTTGTCCAGCTGTGTCAGGGCACTTCTAGGCACGCTCAAAAGCAGAACTTGAAGTGTATATGGAAATACAAAATAAAAATGAAAGGACTCATGGCATTCTCGTTGCTCTGGTGTTTAGACAGCTCCTGAGCAAAGCTTTTTGAGACCTCCGTTCTGGATTGCAAGATTTTATAGTTTATGCACCTCATCTTTTGTTTAGATATGGCTGTAAACCCGTGTGTGGATACAATGCCTGGAACCACGTTGATCTTGAAAGCTGGACAAGAAAGTTCACTGCAGCCCACAGTCGCCCAGATGCTCTGGGGGAACCTACAGCCTGAGTTGTGTGACTGAGCCCACATTCAAACAAGAAGGGACCTCACAGGGGTTCCACAACAGCTGTCCCATAGGGTGAGGGTGCAACAGAGAGAGGCTGTGATTGTTAAAGTCTTTAAGAGTGGTAGGACCACACACCCCTGTCAAGGCTTCAGAAAGGTGCTATTTTCTTTAGGGACATTATCCTAGTAGTTGTTACGGCTCTTCGTGGGAGACAGTGCTTTGAATTCCATCAGGTGGGGAAGGGAACTGCATCTGATGCTTGCAGGATCTCTTAGAGATCAGTGTAAAAATAGGCACAGGTCACTATTCATATTGTCTCTGTTCTGGGATGTTCTGGTTCAAGTAGGGTGATCCAAAAATGCGTACAAGCAGAAGAAGTCTAATCTACAGACTGGACTTATTAATGTGGGAGATAATCTCAGAAATCAGACAGGATTAAGACATTATAGGCACTTTCATGGATCAGACACCTGAGCACTTTGGAAGTTTCCCAAGCAATCAAGAAGGAAAATATATCAAGAATAAATCAAGTGTTTTCTAATGATGCTGAATGTCCAGGAGCAATCATGACCTTCCACAAACATCTTGTGCATTCGCAGTTCACTCTGGTTTCAGCAAGTCTGAAAATCAGGTTTCTTGTTGGGAAACCCTAATATGGATTTTTGATCCTCGAATTTAATGGCTTTGCTATTAAACAGTGAATAGCTCTTCTATTTAAATGCATAGCAAAAGGCTAATGAATTTTGAGGGAGGAAAAAAAGGGACTGGATAAACATCTTCAATGATACTGAACTGTGTTTCAGTACCAAGGTCTTGCTGACACTTGCTTATCATGAAAATGTTTAAAGAAAAGACTCTTGGAGGTTAAAAAGCTGTTGCCTCTTAGAATTGTTGTCTGTCATCCATGGGTATTTTATGAAGACAGTGGGTATATTTCCTCATAACGTGGAGGTGACAGGTCATCACAGACGTAGTCTTCCAGCAGTTCCTCTGGCTCATCAGAGCTGTCCTCCGACCTGAAGACAGGAAGAGGAGCAGGCACAAAAGAATTTAGCAAACACACAGCATGCAGGTAACCTCAGTGCTGCATCCTGTCAGCCTTATCTGGTCAAAGCGCTTCCTAACTTCTTGAGAAAATGCTAGAAGAAGAAGTTTTACTGTGACTCAACCATTTGCTGTGTTCTTTTCACAAAGTATAAACGTGTCAGGAGTTGACCTTTGTTTTCGTGCTGCCTATGCCTGTCACACATGTTGCTGAAGACGATGGGTCAGTCAGCAGTTTTTCAAACAGACTTTGATAGATGAACTAAAAGTGGCTTGTGTTCTAGGAAGGATATAATTCTGAGCAAATCCCATAATCAGCATATTTTTCCTTGGATGAAAGAACTGTACAAAATTATTTTGTGTCTGATTAAAGCAGTTTCATATTGCTCTGTAATATCAGCTATCTTGTTTATGCCCCAAAACTAGGAAAAGAGTAAAGGCTGGAAGGTTGCTACAGCGTGAGAGGAGTGTGTTGTGACCATGCGTAAGCAGGGGGGAGAGCATCTGGTACCAAACTGATTCTTGCATTGTCACAAAAATGCTGTTTGTGTACTGACTCATGTGTTGTGATTGTGTTTGAGTGGTAGCCTCTGGCTGTACATATAATAACCTTCCGGCCAATGGTCTAAAAGTAGTAAGATAAGCATTAAAAAAAAAAACAAACGCAAACCATAGGCAGAAGCATATAAACGAATATATTCAAAAATAACAAGAGATTTAGTAGACTGAAAATTAAAAGGGTTTCATAAGTGAATTTGATTTGGATAAAAATGCTTTCTAGAAAAAGCCTGTCGCCATAGTCTTTACTCAAGAAACACTCCTAACAAAGAAAAAATATGTCTGAAGAAGGATAACACCCTGGACTAGCTTTTGTTTCCTTTGAAACCATGCATAGCACTTAAAATAGTCAGAAGCTTGTGTCCAAACACACTAAGGCATTTCAAAGATGTACCTCTGATTCCTGGTATTCTCTGCAGGATAGGTAGAATAGTTTTCATCTCCGGTAAAAGCTGGGTTATCCAAGGGGTAGGCAGAGCAGAAGTGAGCAGAGCCTGGGGTGGGAATCGGTGAGGCAGCACCGCAGCAGCTGAGCACTGGGTGAAGGTAGCCAGGACTCACAGCAATGCCTTCCTGGGCTGGGTATGGCGGAGGGATGTACTGTACCACTGTGGCACCGTGAAAAGTTATAGGCTGGTTAATGCCGGTGAAGACGAAGGACTGTCCACTAGCAGTCTGGTCGAGGTCTGATGCATTTTCCTCTCTTTCTTTACAGGACTTGCATGTAAGCATGTTAAATTTACAAACAGCAATCAGAACAAAAGTCACCCCAACAGACAGCAGAATGGGCCCCAGTAACTGAGTCCACTCAAGGTGAGTAACGCCGTCGTATTTTATCCATCCCATCACGGTGAAAGTGATTCCCACCAGTCCCAAAAACACACCTGAAAAGAGCAAAGTGGCACCGGCTTTATCCCCATCTGACACCAGGACGTCGGATCTGTTTGGCTGATAAGGAGAGACAGAAAAGACATTCAAGGAAAAATCTTCTACACCACTGTTGTTCTGCTCCATTACAGAGTATAACTTATCTTCTGTCTCGAGGGAAAAGGGGCTTGTAAGGGACCTGGCAGAGCATTTAAAGTCGAAAGTTCAGGTTAGTTATACAAGAACTTTGTGTGTGTATGGTTAACAGAGTCCATCATGTGAAAGGATAAACTTTGCTTGGAAGAATAAAGGTCTGGGAAGCGAAGCCTGAAGTGATCACTAAAGACTTCTTGAATTACCACCATCACTTCCGAAATGGCTTCACCCTTGCACGGCTGCTTATCTCTTTGTTTATGGTCCTCTTTAATTTGGCATCCACTGATACTTCCTCGCTGTGCCCATGCCAGATGGGAGAGAAGGGAAGCTTCAGCCACCGCAGCTTTTCCTAGGCCCCCTGCCAGCTGATGCATTCAACATATGGACCGCATACCTTTAGCCAACAGCAGTGTAGTGACTCTAGTTCTCCTTGGGCCACCACTCCAGCAACCCAGACCTACAGGAAAATGTGTGGCCACTGCCGGGAGTGCTTGGCAGTACTCTGAAGTGTGACATTTATAGCCATGCCTGGACCTCGGCTGCAGCTTGTTCTGCAGTTCAGAGCTTCCATGGTTTAAAAAATATCAAAGCAGGCTTTCTGATATTTTGCCAACGGAGAGCAGCGGGTGGGCGGGAGGGTAAGCAGCAACAGGGTGGTGAGTGCTGAACAGCCTGGGAGAGCTGCTGGTTGTGGGAGAAAAGTTATTTCAAGCCAGCCAAAGCTTTCCAGCTGTTTGTAGGTAGCATAAGTGGTCTGTAACTTTCCCTTATTTGTGGACAGTTTTTTTTCTTGTGGGATTTCCATTCCTTCCTCAAAGTTTATACTGAATAAAGCATACACATCCCGAACAGCACACCACTGCAGGAAATGAGAAAACATCTCCTGTAGTATTAAACCTGCTAAAGCAGAAGTACCTAGAATAATTTTTACATTGCAATGAATTGTTCTGTTGAACATATGTCCCATATATTAAACAGAGAAGTTAACTGAATGTCGAGATTTTCTGTTTCCTAACAGCTTCAGGGTAAAGCAATTGCTATTGGAGGGTTATGGCAGAACATCTTCATGTAATTCCTTAAGGAGAAGAAACCTCCAAATACTTGATTTGTTTTGACTAGCATGGCAGGGGAGAACACACAGGACAGAGATTACTCATCAGGTGGTAGAATGTATAATGCTGCTTACTGCTACAGCAGCTCTGGGAAAGCAAGCTTATCCTCAGATTTATAGGATAAAAATAGTTCTAAAACTGGAAAACTCATATTTCAGACTTCTTCAAAATCAGTACAGATGCCTTTAGTCTACTGCGCATTCATAGCACACAGTGTGACAACGTCTCACTCCTGAAAGGGGCCGCTCACTGAATTTGGTGCCTTTAGAACTGATGCTGAATGAAATCGCAGCTGTGTTTTTCTCATTTGTTAGCAGATAGACTTTGAGGACTACTAGTGCTGGGCTCCTTTAAAAAATGTCTGGGAAGTTTCCGAAGTCAGTATTATGTCTTTTCTATTAATATGAGGTTGCCAACAAATTTTCTGACAAATACACTCAAGATCAGCCCTTCCCCCAGCACCAAGTCTCGTCAGGACTCTCTGCACCACTTAGGCAAAGTGTTAAAACTTGCAGTGCAGTGGTTTCATATGATGACAACTAAATTAGAAAGTGCTGAAATACTAGATAAGCTGTCTTTTATTGGCAATTATAGCCAAACCTAAGACCTTTAACCTTATATTTAGTAAACATAATGGAATGAATTTCTGTTACTGCTGTCTGCAAGTCAGGCTTTTCCATACCATGAATCATTCTCATCACTGCTGAATCTTCCAGGCTTTCCAACATCCTTTTAAAAGCAGCACTATATCATAATAGCTGTCTAACTAATGGTATATACAGATGTAGTGTCACCTGCCCCCTCTGGTTCATGCAAGAACTCTGCAACTGCGATTTCCAACAGGATTGTGCTGGAGCACTTCCTTGGTCCTACGCAATGATCCTTAGATGCTGTCTGGAGTCAAGAGTTTTCCAAGCTGGGTCTTGCATCCTCCCATGGCTGACACTCTTTGCCTCTGGCCTAGGACATGACTTCATGGTTGTTGAGCAAGTGCACAGCAGAGCTGGAGAATACAGGTGGTTTCTTCCAAGGCTGCTTGTTACTTGAACTTGGAAAATGGGATGGAAAATACTTCCTGTTTGGTGCAGTAAAAATACACCTTTACTTGTAAACTGCTCCCTCTTTGTAAGATATAATTTCCTCTAAGCCTCCCCACATTTCTCCCATTATTTCCCCAGACAGTGGCAATGCTGCATTCAGGCAGCTGTTAAGGTTTTAAGCGATGACCGGATCACACTGATTTTTTTAAGGCCAGTACTTTGCCAACTAAGTGCATGTTCTGGGAACTCACTTAAAGATGCTGATTTATGACATGCATCCTCTTTTACCTGGAATAGCTCCTAAACAAACAAAACCAGTTTTGTCAAACCTAAGGAGTTGGTCAGACTGAGGTTTTCAGAATGGGTGCTGTTTTCAGATCTCACTACAATTTTGTTCCCACCTGCTTCAGGGACCTTACCCCCTGAACTCAAGCGCTGCTTTGCTTTCTGTTTCTCCACATAATTTTCTATCAATCACCAGGGCAGATTTCCCTGCAGTGCTTGCTGCTGGAGGCAAGGTTTCTATAAAGCTCTGCACCTCTGCAGTTCTCTAACCTGTTTAAAGAGTCATCCTAGTAAACACTGACAGGCCTTCACTTAATCATTTTCTCCTCCCCTTCTGCTATTAATTTTTTGTTCACTTTATCAGCCTGTTGTAGTGAGGTTTTTATTTTCCTTACATGCCTGTAATACAGACAGGGACTTAGTCATAGAACATGCAGAAGATGTCATATTAAAGAAAATTATACCGTGTCATTGCAGAGTGATTGGCTTTAAAAAGAGTAGATACAAACTCACTCCATAACGAAACATTCAATGGTAGGAAGATGAAGGAGCCAATGATTTGATTCAGCAAGACATTTTTCCTAGAGAAAGGTGACCGTATGTGGCATCTTTTAGAGGAAAACACGAATTACGTGTGTAAGAGCAGTACCTTAAGAACCAGGATGAGTGGGCCTTGCACCCTGGGGCCTGTACTACGACACTGCCAGCCTCAAAGCGTAAATAAGCCGCAAGAAGCAGGTTCAGCCAGCTGCCCACAACTGCATCCACCTGCAAAGTGGTTTTATATGCTCCCAGGGAATGTTGTCTTGTGAGCGGGCACACCAAATAGAAGGTATTCCCATACCTAATTATCCAGATTCATGAGCACACACCTAGATAAAGGCTGACACGTTCGTTGCAGAAATATGAAGGTATTGTCAAAAATATCTGCCTGGACACAGAAATGCCCCGTGACTTGATGATTCGGAAGAGGTAAGATGGAAAAAGAGATAGTTGGATACAGCCCCACCAACCAGAAAGGGCAAGGCTAGGGTGGATTCAGCCCAGAAAGTGCTGCTTTGCTAAAAACAGCACCATTGCAGGGCTCTCTGCAAACTCAGTTTTTCAGGTGAGCTGGCTTTCAATTTTTTTTTTTTTTAGCTGCTGGTGGTGCAGGTCTAGAGAAGAGGCATCCATTTACATTTTCATTAATGCTTCTCGTGTCCAAAGAATTGTAATGTTGCAGTTAGGAGCACAGCAGTGTCAGTGCAGGCAGCAAGGAACTTCACTTACAGAGGGTAACCCACCCGTACCTCCCACTCTGCCTGTTTGAGTAAGTGTGAATCAGTAACCGACTTGATTTGCTCCCTAGCATTTGTATGTCAAGCACTTAAACTAACCGTAGGGCAGAAAGGCGGTTATAGCACCATTAGTGTGACAGTAAAGTATCTCACTTCCTCAATAAAAATGCTATTCCGTATTATTTTAAGCTACTTTTATAGCTTTACAAGGTGTTGCTTCCTTTCTAATACAGACATTTCACCCCTACTCCCCACATCAAAAATTCCTCCCACTAATGCTGTTCACCCAGTGGTAACCTTCAGTGCTGGGGGCAGATCTGCCAGCCTTTTGCATTTTTTGACCTTGCTGAAACAGATTTTGACAACACATTAAGCAAATACTGTTGCCCTGGCTGTGTGAGCTCTTTCTGCGCTGAGCAGGTTATGGAGACGCACACAGCATGTCCACGGGGTTTTCAAGGAATGATTCTCCAAGGTAAAAATAGAAGATGCTAATACAGCTGTGCATTGGTCTTCTTCCTAAGCATTTTCTCAAAATGACACAGAAAGAAATTCTAGTTTTAATCCTCATTTTCAGAGGTGACACCTGCCTTTCCCAGGAAATTCAGGTGCTGACTCTGGAAAGTCTTGTCAGCAGCATTCTAAAGCATGCTTTCCACCAAGACTTTTTTAGAAATAATGTGATTGCACTGGAGACTCTGCAGATAGAAAAGCAAAACACAACCACCTTGGAGAAAAACACGAAGATGGTGTTTTCACTTCCAGAGGACTCAGAGTCGACATATTCCTCCTGATTTGCCTGGTCTCTTGGGTACGTCTTGGATTGAGACGAATTGAGCCCATTGCAGGCAGCATGGAAGGTTAATACCTTTGCAGTCAGCCATCAGACGAGGCTGTATTTAAAAAAAAAAAACAGATGGTGATATATTTCAAGATTTATTTTAACGTACAGCTTTTTGACGTTTAACCTTTTCAGCTAGTGTGCGTTCATTTGCAATTCGACCAACAGAACAGAGGCAATGTGGGTCTCCATTTGCATGGAATATTTTAGGTAGAATTCCCCAGCTCCTGCCCTTGCTATGGACTAGCAAGACAAATCCAGAGAGAGACAAGCTCCTTTGGCACATGCAAGGGTTTGCATGCACGAATCCTGCAGGGCGGTGGGCACTGCTAGTAAAAATCAGGTTAGAAACAAAAGCTTTTTAAAAAAAAAAAATCAAATATATGGTGAACTGTAGCTTGGATTAGAGAAGGTATTCAAGGAACAGCATCCTTGGAGAACTCACTAGGTAAAACACTTGAGAGAAAAGAAGACAAAATGCCCGCTGGCTTTTTTGTAGATCCCCTCTCTTCCTACAGGCACTTCCCATGGCAGTCATCCCAGTTTATTCCCACATCCTAAATCCCTCTCCATGCTGTGTTCACTCTTTACCCTGCATGTGCAAGCCCCTCAGCACTATCGCTGGCTAAATGTACCTCCCTCACTGGCCAGTTTATCTTCGTGTGGCTGAAGAGGGGCACACCGGAGGGAACAACGCAGAGGGGGAAATCGATGGCCAAACGCAGGAGCTCCTGAACATCTCCCTGAAGAACTCTGCAGGTGAAAGGTATGTCCAGAGAAAGAAGACCCGAGGCGATCACCTTTCCCTGGGCACAGGAGGGAATTTGAGTGCTTAATTCAAAGCTTGGCACACTGTTACAGCCAGGTTCCCCAAAATTCAGCATGCCAGGAGACAAGGTGCAGGTGAGGTGCCCGAGCACGTAGGTGCTCAGTGACTGAGCTGATCAAGACAGAGATCTTGCTCTGCTCTCAAGATGTTTTAATGCTGTCAAGACCATCATGCTGAACCCAGCCCGAACAGCAGCTCTGCCACCTTCTGTTTCTGGGCACAGAATCACGTCAGTTCTCAAAGAGGGCTCGGAGCAAGTCGTAAAGCATCAAAGGTCAGCAGCAACTCGGTTCCCGCTAATCATACCTACCTACTACAAGCAAATCCTTCCGTTCAGGAATGGGTGCAAACACTCACAAAGTAGAACGAGAACCTGTTGTCACTCCATCCTGAAAGCAGGCAGCCTCCGCCAACTTAGGGGCTGCAGGGGGACAGAGGAGCTCAAAGGGTTGTGCTTCTTAAGGGTCTGTCAAGTGCTGTGTCAGCGAAGAACATCTGTTGCAGATGTTTGGAACTGCCTCTCCTGCATTTGCTGATACAAAAGGCCTGCACCTGGAAGATACCACGGCAGAGCGGCGCTCACACTTACAGAACAAGCACCTCCTGTATAAACCACGAATGATGGCATGGGACAGCAGCATAACGTCCCTGAAATCAGTCATTACCACAGTTAACCTGTTAGCCTATTAGCTATTCTCAGTGTTGCCCTGGGGCTCTGCACTGCTGGCTAAAACTGATTTTCATAGGGATTATACTTACATAAGGACCAAGCAGGTTCTAAATTAAGCTATGGACTGTTTGTTACCAGGCAGATTAAAAAATAACCATTTAAGTTCTCCATAGCATATCTGGTCCCAGTCTCAAACGCTCCTATTTGCAATGCTCTCGGGGCAAAGTCAGTGACTTTGCAAACAAGTATTTTCCACAAAAGTCATATGAAAACAGAAACAAAAACACTTCCTAATTATTTCTTTTTTTCAAGCTCCAAACAGATTTAATTAAAACAAGCAAAAAAAGTTGGTGTCTCCTTAGCACTTCCATTATATAAAGAACTAAAAATGGAAACTGAAGCTGTAACAGAACAAGATGAGCATTTAACATTCTTGCGGTGAGCTGAATCCCTTCAGGCTACTTTCTCAGAAGCCCAGCATTATCTAGTATTTCTTGAAACCCAAATTCATCATTTATGCTTTTCTGATGAAAAATTAGACACAGCCAACATTATTGCTTTTATTACAAAATGTAAATAAATTCAAAAATTGTAAATCTGAGTGTACAATTTAATTTAAAAACTGTGACCGACTCTATGAGCTGGTGTCAGATGTGGCTAAGGAAACAGAGGAAGAAGATGAAGATGGAGAATATTCGTTACTTGTGACTGACACTTTTTCTTCGTATTTTGGAGGTGATTCAGAGGAGAGGTATAGCATCAGTAAAATATCTGAAGGTGAGCTGCTTCCAGAAATTGTATATATGGTTTCATAGTCTCTAACAGCAACTGTTCTTTCATCATCTGTAAGCTGTGCTCTGTAAAACACATAACTACATATTAGCGTAATTCATTTCTCTACAGTGAGTGAAATTCCATTTGACTTACATAAACGCAGATGTATGCACACCCTCCCCAAACGTCCCTGAAGCAAAGACCTTGCATAAGCATTAGGATTTCATTCTGTGGGCTACATTATGACTCATACATAAATTCTATTACTCCACAGGGGAAGGGCAAAGAAGCTCCCTTCTAACCTCTCACATCACCAGTCACAGCCTGGCTTAGGGATATTAGCTGCTTCTGGCAGCAATAGCTATCTCACAGTCGCACTAAATCTTCTGATCCTTAGCTCCTAATGTTATCTTCCCTTTTGTAGCCTCTCACATACACATTGTCCCCTTCCCTCGTGAAAGACAGCAAGTAGGCTTAGAATTGCATCGCAAAAATCACAATCCTTAGCCATTTGAGTTCCTACGGGTAAGGCAACCTGAAAATTTTATTAAACTTTCCAGCAACCCATGACAGACGTAAGGAGTAGCGTTCCTGCCCAGAGCTGGAGAAACGGAAGCAACTGGACACAACCAGACTGCTAAATTCCCAGTGGCAGTCAGGGAGGGCAGCCAAGTATTCACTGTCCTCCTCTGACCATCATAACTGGATCCCAATCAGTTGCACCCACACAGTTCTGGTACCCTGCTCATCTTGCCCTGGAGTTGGCACTCAATATTTTGCTTCAGCTGCTGAATGAGGAACTCCTCGTTACTCACTCCCAGAGCCGACTCCTCCTTTCATGCATACATCTGTACCCCCACCAATGCTGTGTGAGGACCAGGAATACAAAGCACAGTCACCCCATCTTCAGTGCAGTTACTGGTGTGCAAGGGTGTGTGTTTAAAGGAGGGAGAAGAAAACATACCACAAGACAAATGCTGAAGCGCTGCATGAGAGACTGAAGGAAAAAACCCAACCATTTCTGGGATCATACCATGACTCAGCTTCCTACAAGCTCTCTCATCCAGCACAGCCTCTACCACAGACCTTGCTGACAGAACATGGTGCAATGGACTGAAGAGCTAAATCACATTTGCTTAGTAACCACCCACATATTAAATGGGTACTTCCTTCCAGCTTTGGGATCTTCAACCATGACACTATGTTAGGAGGAATGAGGCCACTGCTTCTCCTCTACCTAAGGGCTTGGGAACCAATGTGCACAAGTCAAGATGCCATGGCTGCTACCAGGCACTGAGCTGTGGGACAGCAACAGCTAAAGCAGCCACAGAACACCAAAGCAGGAGGTCAGGGTTTCTGCAACCAAGGTTGAAGTGTTTTGCACACTCCACTAGAAACTGCTCCAACAAGCTGGGCTACAAACTGCCTCTTTGTGTACACATGTTCACAAGACAGAGAAGTCTAAACAGGCAGTCAATGATGACTGAGCTGATGGGATCACACACAAAGTTTGGAGCACCAGAACTGGACATTCATGGTTGAGACAGTTGATTCAAATGCAGGGATTTTTGCAGGAGAATGCTTGAAGGAAAGAGGGGTCACCTGGTACATGTACCAGCAGGGAGAGCCCACAGGAAGTCTGAGGAGTTAGCTGCTTTTGCCATTCCCCACCATCCTTTGTTTTCCCTTTTTCAGTGCAGGACATGCTGCTTACATTCTTTCATACCCTTTGATAATCCACACGTTTTACCAAGCACATGGGCAGGCAGCCCACATCCGCACTCAGGGCCTGAAATTACAGGGTAGAGAGGACTTGTGGTCCTCTGCTAACACTGTACTTACAGAGAGGTTGTACAAGACAGGTTGTACAAGAGTCACTCTGTCTCTCAGCTGCTTATAAAGCTACAGCAGTGTAGAGTGTTCCTATATCTCTCCCAGTTATCCACTCCAGCCTGGTCTTCTACAGGTATTTAAACTGAGACATTTTTTTGAGGGTGCCCTTGGACCATGTCTGAACCAGCCATCTCAGTGCTACCAGAGGTCCAGGTTCACACTCAGGGCAAGTAATTTCTCCACACACATCCATTTGCTTTGTACATACAGGTGGGATGTATATGCCAGAAGGGAGTTGCAGCACAACTGCCTAATTCCCACACTAGCAGCAGCTGGTAGGAGACACTTTCCAGCTGTGGACACCTTCACTCAGCCCAATAAGAACACAGAGACTTCATGTAAATTCCTTCTTTCAGCAGCAGGAGTTTATTTTCTCTCCGTGCTCTAGGTGTCTTCTGATTGCATCAGTATAGCTTTGAGAGCTGACATATTTCACTTGCAATCTGGGAACAGGCTAAGACTTTCATCCCCGCAGCGACCCTTGTCATCCTGAATTGGCAGGTGTTTAGGACACTGAGTAATCAACAGATTCTCACCAGCATTTTACAAGTAGTCATCTCTCTGAAACAATTTAAGCAGAAAACCAGCAGACAATGAATTACATGTGTAGCTAGGGGTTTAGCAGGCATTGAATCCCTAAGCACAAGTCATCAATCTCAACCTGGAGCTCAGTCAGTGGGAACCAAACACTGAGGGTCTCCCCTTCCCTAGGTGCTTAGTAGATGATTTTTTTTTTTTTTTTGTTTGGGAGCCTGTCCCACTGTGCACTAGTAGCACAGAGAAGAGAGCATGGTTTTTGGTAGAGTTGTTTATTCTATGATAAAAAAAAAAAAGGGTGTTTCTAAGAAAAGGCAGAAGGAGTCTGGCTTGCAGTAGTAACAGCAGCAGGAGGAAGCACCTGCTGTCTCCAACAAAGACAGGGAGGAAGTATTTGAAGGAGGGCACTAGGAAATGGAAGACAGTATGAGTTGATGGCAACTGACTGGAGAACAGAGCGCCTCATAGCGGTGCTGCGTCTCAAGAATCCACCAGGTGTACTTCAAATGCTGACTAAAAAAACCCACAGACATGGCTGCACACTGTGGTAACAACAGGCACCACTGCTAACGCAAGTATCCTCCTCCTGTAGCATTCAGGTCTCTGGGAAGGAAGAGGGTTCATGCTTGCTTGCTTCAAAAGCAAGATTAGCACCAGCGTTTTGAAGAAGTACTGACATCTGGCACACCTCTGGTAGGAACGCACTGCCTCACGTGAGCGGAGAAGTCTGGAGTATAGTGGAAAGCTATTAACGCAATGACCCCACAACTACTACGGCTGGACACAGCCAGGCAGGCTGGGGCTCTTGCTGCAGTGATGGTATTTAGGATGCTGCAGGTACAGTCTTGTAAACTAAAGTCATCCACTGAAAACGCCTCACACCACCTAGTGACTCATAGATCAAAACCAACCTGACACAGGACCTTCCAAAAGGTAAAGCCAAGTCAATTCTGGATCATTAAGGGCTTGAAAATAAGTTGGCGGTTCCACACGTGACACCTCGCGCTCCTGGCCAGATCTAGTTCTGGCTTCTCGTATGTGGCCCTTGCAGAGACCTCTTTCACCTTCCTGTCAGCAGCCTACTGATGGTAACTCACGGGGCATAAGTAAGCCTGCAATTTCTTGTGGTGCCGACAACCCTAGTCAGTGGGCAGCTTGAGCTTGGTGGTGGCAGCATCCAGCAACTCAGCTGTACTCAGTGTATGGAAGAGTGGCTACATGGGTAAGGTACAACATTTTGAAATGAAGCTGGCACTGCAACCTCCCTTTTAAGCTCCCTGGAGCCTCCTGCTCTTCTCCTGCAGCATCAAGGTATCTTTTTATCTCAACACACCACCACAGCAGGAACAAGGCAGACCAGCAGGGCAGGTCTCACTTCCTCAAGGCAGTGCGATAAGAGTCACAGGGAGAACATAACACACTAAAGTGGCATTTCCAGAGTCACAGGGCCTGTGGATAGGTGTCATGAAGGACTTACTGCACTGGTTCTACAGAGGCTTTCTAAAAATCATGGAATTGTTTGGGTTGGAAGGGACCTTAAAGACCATCTAGTTCCAACCCCCCTACCATGGGCAGGGACACCTTCCACTAGACCAGGTTGCTCAAATTCCCATCCAACATCTGAACGCTTCCAGGGAGGAGGCATCCACAATTTCTCTGGGCAGCATGGATATCATGTCACTGGGGCACTGCTGTCAGGGGCACCTTCTCTTGGACAATCTGCGGAAGGAAACTAGTCTAAATAAATTTCAACAAGGCCACTGATTTAAGGCTTTGTTTTCACCAAGTTCTTCTCAGCCACAATAATAAACTGGTAAGAATTTAACCCTCATGAGGGACACCCTGTGGTTTCAGATTCCCCTTTTACACTAGGATATTTTAATGTCATTTCAAGTAAAGTATCTGAAGTAAGTCAAGTGATGCACTAGAAAACTTTGTAGTGCCTGGCACAGTTAATTTATTGTGGTTATTTAAGAACATGGCCTTGGATCCCTGAGAAGCATCTCAGGTTTCCAGAGACCGAGATGTAAACAGTCTTACCCATCACTGAAGATAGAGTGGTATGGTGGAGGGTTTTCATTTGTAGGCAAAACACTTGGCATAAGACATCGTCTCATGGTTGGTGACACAGGGTCAGCAAAATAAGGAGGTGGTGGAGGTGGGAATACCATTACAGCATCACCTAGGGAAAAAAATACCAGTTACTACCTTGCAAAAACTGAGCACCACTATTTATTCTAACTGTATCCTAGAATATTTCCTGTCTTTGGAATTAGAGTATTTGTACTCATCTACCTTTTAAGATAAAGGGCAGTGATACCACATACAGAACTGTTAAAATTTTGGGCTATTAGAGCAAATCAGAGGTAGGTTCAAAACCAAAATTATCCCAAAATAAAGATCCAGCATATGCATAAATGGAAGATTTCATTTAGAAAATACAGCTGGGGAAAAGGAATTCTCCATCCAGCTAAGAGACGCTGTTTGCTGTCTTCAGAAATTGGAAGTGCAAAGCACACAGTTACTGTTGGCTCACCTTAAGGCTAGGCAAGTGTTTAGTTTTCCTCAAATATCTAAAATAGGACAGTTCAAGTTTCTCACATCTACTGCAGTCTTATAACAATAGTATTCAAATCATTAGCCGTCCCAATGACTGACTGTGTGCCTTGACAGTTTCCCTACTAAATTACTCCTAGCTGAAGGCACACTACTAACATTAGTACCATGATGCTATTGATATGTAATTCACTATTAAGTGTACTGTGCAGCAGATCTGAAACTTTCAGCTTTGTAATTCAGCAGTTCCAATTTTTAATTTTTTTTGTTAATCAGAAAGTTCGTATCAGTCACTGAGCTTGCATAATTTATATAAACATTCACAGCTGCCTGCCACCTTTTTCCCCCTTGGTAATTTGTGTTCAGGGACAGGTAACATTAAAAATGTTGAGTGATGTGGGGTGTGCTTTCTAGCCGATCACTGTTGTAGCGTGTCACAGTGCCAACCTGATCTCAGCCTTCTGCCTTCCTGTCTCACCTTTCCTGATGGAAGTATAAAAGGAACCCACTAATTTTGCTTTCCTGCCTTTAAAGACAATCTGAATTCCTTTCTGTTTTCTCCTGGTGTCTGGAAAACAGATTTTAACTCTCGTGTTTCCTGAGGATCATCAGGTTGCAGGTCTGTACGTTGGTTTGACAGGCAGAAGAAAAAAAAAAAAAATTTGCATAATGAATCAAGTCCCTCCAGTCAGATGATACTCAAGCAATACTATGATTGACTCATTAATCCTTTCTGAGAGCTAGAAAGTTCATGGGGTATTAAAAGCAATGCTATATGGAGGGGAACATTCCCTGCTAACACCACAGTTACTCAAATACTGTGCAATTAACAGAAGCGTCTTGCAATTACATCTCTGACTGATGGAAGCTGTAGCCACGATTAAAAAACTAAAACCAATACACTGCTTATGAATCAATTTCTCCTGTTCAAGGGGTCAGAGCTTAGGGCTAAAATAAATCTTAAATATGGTCACAAGTCATTAGACCTGTGATTTGCAGTGTCAGCTACACCCTTTGGGAAAGGAAGTGGGATTGGAAGAATTTGTGTCAGATTTGAGGCTTTGTTTTGCAGTCAGACCTTTCTTTTTATGCCAAAGGAGAGTTGTTGTCTTTCTCTCAGAAACAACTGAACTAACCATACCAAAAACATAAAAGACAAAGCAACATTTTTCCGTTTTGGCTGGTATGACATGCCAGAACTGACATGCTTAGAGCTCAGATGACTAATATTGAGGTAAATCATTAGTGGAAGAAAAACCCAACTAACCCTCAAGTGTAAAGTTCACATATTATTTACCTACCTACTGTAACCTGAAAAGATTCAGGGCTCTGAGGATGTTCTTCACTTTCACAAGATTCTTGGTTGAGATTTAAGTTCTGTTTCTTTTTAACATGAGCTATCACAAAGAAACACAACCCAGTGAGCACAATCAAAGGTCCCATGATTTGAAGTGACAGGAATCCACAGCCCTGGAGGTCCACATCAGAGCTGCCGGTGTGGTTGAGCTGTATGCTGTACCAGCCAGAGCTGCAGCCAGGAACCCAAATGCCCAGGATGCTAATTAGCATTCCACTCGTTAAAAACAGGAATCCAAATATGAGAAACTGAGCAAACTGACAGCTCCCGCGACAAAAAACAAGGCTGTACACCTGCTCATTTTGCAATTGTCTTTGTCTTATATACAGCCTGGCCCTTGATCGTGCCAGTAAAATACAGATCAGTCCACTTACAGCCAGCACAGGCCCAGCAGCCTTAAGGACCTCGTTACAGTCACTGAAGGTTCCAGATGGGCACGACTGGAGAATAAAGACTGAAAGCAGGAATCCAGCGCAGATCAACACAGCTCCAAAAACAAAAAGGAAAAAAATAAGTTTCCCATGTTGTCCATTATTTCCTTCACCTCCTGGTGCAGGAACAGCCACTGGATACATTACAACAGAATCTCCTCAAGCAGATGAGTTGGTTGTTTTGGGGGTTTTTTGTTTGTGGGTTTTTTTTTTTTTTCCTGTTAGCATTAAGTGGCAGAAAACTACAGTAGATCTGTGAACATGAAAATACATGAATCAAAAGAAAAGAAAAACCAGTAGGACTAGCTACATTACAATATTTATGCATTTGCTACTCAGCCAATATTGTATACTCTCAGTGTATTTTCTGTTTTGTAGTACTTCCGTTATAGATTAACGGGCCTAATCAAGTTTGCTGCCATTGAATGCTGATGAACAGCCAGAACTTGCTTTACAGTTAGACTGAAAGCAACTGCCATTGCTGTTGCACAGCTAAATGAATTGTTTCTTTATATACAGTGTCTTATGACTAAAGGGACACTATTTTCAAATGTTGAATCTTGGGAACAAAGACAGGCTAGCTTCCCCTTGAAAAGAGAAAGCTAGGGGAAATTTCTGCAGCAAATGGCAGGAAGTGACAGCTCTTGAGAGAAAGAACCTTAATGCAAATAAGTATTGATGACTATTGGACTTCTTAATCAAGTAAAACTTCCAATACATACCTTTCCAAAGCATCTAAATCTCGCTTCTCCTTCCACAGGCAATAAAGATTTCTCCGTTTCTCTCCTTAAATCAGCTTCCTGTACTACACAGCTGCAAGAACAAGTACTCAAAAGATTTTTGGTTCCGTTCTGAAAAGACAAAGAAAAGCTGTACTAAAGACCACATACTTCAAGTCTCACTGATTCCATAGTTAGGAGCTGGTAAGCATACTGCTCCCACACTTCCTTTCAACTTGCTCTACTCCCGAATCCTTTGTCTGTGCTCCATGAAAACTTTAAAAAGAAATATAAACAAAGATGGCTTCCAGAAGGCTTGTGAGCCAAGAGGAGTCTAGACTCAGAAGTAAAACAGAAGAAAACAAACTACTGCTAAGGCTGGTAACAGTCCACATGGCAGTATGGTTGACAAATCTGCTGGATGTGAACAAACAGGGACAGGAAAATCCTGACCGAAACTTCGGACAGAGTGCTGTTCAGTGAGCTCTAGGGGCAGAAAAAAAAAAACAAAACAACCCACCCCCAAAAAAAAACCACAGCCACAAACACAACCCAAAACATGTTTCTGCCATTACCCACAAGGAAGTTTGTGCTGCTTTGACCTTCAGATGAGGTCACCTGTGCTCCCTACCACAGAGACTAGCAACCATGGAGTTCTCGGTCCAAGTGGTTACCATCCACCAAAGGCCAGCCTGAAACCCAGGGGAATTTCAGACCGTGGAAAATCAAAAGGCTGGATGGACAATGAGAAAGCTGCCCCCTACCAAATGTAGGGCCAGGTTCATATTGCAGTGTTTTAACACTGCCTTTCCCTCTCACCAGCAGTCTGCCATTACAGACAACTTCATGTATGACCTGGATATATCTGGAAGGATACAGAGGGATTGGAGGAGTGTGCCACAGATGGAAGCAGGGATTGGCTTAGTTACTGCTGTTTGTTAGTTAACCTTCAGCCTTTCCTCTACCAGCTTCCACTGCCCTACTAATCTACTAATTCAGATGACTGAACTAATTCCCCTTCCACATCTACTAATTCAGATGACTGAAGCTAAAAGTCAAGTTAGATTGACTCCTCCTTACATATGCCTCAACAGCAGTTATTCCACAAGAAAAACAAAGCATTATGTGATTCCTGGAAGCAAACTGTTGAACATGTGTCAGCCACAACAAGCCCCACATCACTCCCCAGTAACTGCAGTGCCCCACTGGGATGAAAACAAAACACAACCATAAAACCCACTAGTCGCTCAAGTACGTAATTATCCTTCTGCAGTGCAAGGCAATCTATCGAGTCACTCGGCCGCTTGTAAGAGTAAGACCCAATTAAAGAATCGTCTGAGCAGATACAGGAATGATGA